AAGGGGAATACATGATCTGATGAACCAGAATTAGCTGGTTACATAATCGATATCATGGGGCAAAGAATGTGAGGTGAGGTGGCTTTACCCCGGGGGGGGAATGGGTGAACATGAAGAGACCTGGCTCAATGATCATAGTCCTATGATGTGGGCATTGGGGGGGGTAAGGGCAGAGGGTGGGGGTGTGAACTGGGTGGAGGGGAGCTATGGGGGGGAAAAAAGGAACAACTGTAATAATCTGAACAATACAGATTTATTAAAAAAAAAAAAAAAAGAAGTGCATCAAAGATTACGTGCAATCAATCAAAGTTAAGCTTGAAGAACAGAGACCAGAGTTCCTTATGGATGAAAACATGAGTACAGATGGCATGGTTGCTCTGCTGGACTACCATTAGAATGGTGTAATTCTCTTTAAAGGTGGTTTAGAAATGGGAAAATGTTAACAAATTTGGCAATTTGGATCTATCACCTGTCATCATAACTGGCTGCTGCTTTTCATTCAAATGGGACTGATGTTATCTTGAGCTCTTTGTTCATTTTGACCTTGATTTATTTGTAGCAAAGTCATTGTTTTTAAGAAAAAACATGTCATGTAGGTTGTCTAAAAATAAAATGCATTTAAACTAAAAAAAAATAAAAATAAAAAAATTTAAAAAATTTAAAAAAATAAAATAAAATATATTGCTGAATAAAAAAAATAAAAAAAATTTTTTTAATGCAATCCCTATCAAAATTCCAGTGGCATTTTCTACAGAAGTATAAAAACAATCCTAAAATTTATATAAAACACAAATGTGCCCAAGTAGCCAAAGCAATTCTAAGAATAAAGCAGAAGGCATCACACTTCCCGATTTCAAACTAAATTATAAAGCCATAGTAATGTAAGAACAGAAATCTTAAAGCTCCTTAAATAAAACATAGGAGCCAATCGATGTTTCTCTCTCATTGATGTTTCTCTCTCTCTCTCCCTCTCCCTTCCTCTTTCTGAATAAAAACATTTTTTTAAAAAGCTACTTGACATGAGTCTTGACAATGACATTCTAGATGACACCTAAAGAAAGCACAAGCAACAAAATAAAAATTAGACAAGTGGAACTACATCAAACAAAAAGTTCCTTCCCAGCAAAAAAAAATTAACAAAATGAAAAGACAACCTATGGAACAGGAAAAAATATTTCAAGCCATATATCTGATAAGGGGTTTATATCCAAAATATATAAGTAACTCATACAAATCAATAGCAAAAAAATAACACTGCTGTATGGACAAAGGACCTGAATAGACATATCTCCAAAGATATAAATATGGCCAACAGGTATATGAAAAGATGCTCAAACATCACTAATCACTAGGGAAATGCAAATCAAAACTACAATGAGATATCCCCTCAAGCCTGTTGGAATAACTGGCATCAAAAAAGTCAAGAGAGCCCTGGCTGGTTTGGCTCAGTGGATGGAGCGTCGGCCTGTGGACTGAGGGGTCGCAGGTTCAATTTGGGTCAAGGGCATGTGCCTTGGTTTCGGGCACAACCCCAGCGGGAGGTGTGCAGGAGGCAGCTGATCGATGTTTCTCTCCCATCGATGTTTCTAACTCTTTATCTCTCTCCCTTCCTCTCTGTAAAAAATCAATAAATTTTTTTTTTTTAAAGTCAAGAGAAAACAAAAGGTGGCAAGGATGTGGAGAGGAGGGAACCCCTGCGTACAGTTGGTGAAATTGTCAACTGGTACAGCCACTATGGAAACCTAATGAGTTTCCTCAAAAAATTAAAAGTAGAACCACCCTACTCCTTGGTTGAGTGGCTCAGTCAGTGTCATCTCATGCACCAGAAAGGTCTCAGGTTATATTCCCAATTCTGGGCACATACCAGGGTTGCAGATTTGATCTTTGGGTTGGGAGGTGGCCAATCAATGTTTCTCTCTCTCCCTTCCTGTCTCTCTAGAATAAAAAATAAACAAACAAACAAAAAACACCCACACACCAAAAAAATAAAAAATCCTATGATCCAACAATTCCACTTCTGGGAATATTTCTGAAGGAAATAAAAACTCTATATCGAATAGATATCTGCATCCACATGTACAGAGCAGCATTATTTACAATAGTCAAGACATGAAAACACCTAAGTGTCCATTGACAGATGAATGTATAAAGATGATGATGTGTATATATACACAGTGGAATATTATTCAGCCATAAAAAAGTAGGAAATCCTGCTATTTGCAACAACATGGAGGGACCTCGAAGGTAGTATGCTAAGTGAAATAAATCAAACAGAGAAAGACAAGTACTGTACGATCTCACTTACGTGTGGAATCTAAAATAAAATCCAAACTCATCAAAAAGAGATCAGATGTGGTTACCAGAGGTGAGAGATCGGGGAGGGAAAACTAGAGAGGGATAGTTGAAGGTACAAACTTTCAATTATAAGTATAAGGGATATAATGTACGACATGATGACTATAGTTAACACTGCTGTCTGGTATATGAACATTAAGAGAGTAAATCCTAAGATTTCTCATCACAAACAAAGCCATTTTTGGTACCTATAATGGGATGATGGATGTTAACTAAACTTACTGTAGTAACGATTTTATGATATGTGTAAGTAAAACCACTATGCTTTACACCTTAAACTTGTACAGAGCTGTAGGTCAATTATATCTCAATAAACTGGAAAAACAAAAGGATGGTGTGTAGAGACCACGAAAAGTAGGCATACTTGGAGATAAGCTAGCTCCAGATTTTTACAGAAAACTTTTTACTAGTTTTATACCTTAAGACATTGAAGCCCCATCTTACTTGCCAAAACACCTCTGATAGAAAGCTAGACCAGCAAGTTCCCCATGTTCTGGGGAGCCTCAGTTTTACATATTCTCATGCCATGTTTTGGGGCTTGGATGTAAGAAAGAGGTAAACAATAACTCTGTAGATGCAGGTGGTAAGTAAACAGAGGGATTAAAAGAACTAAAGCCGCAAAAGGACTCTTTGTCATCTCCACAAAGTACTTACTGCTTTAGGATACCATGGCACCCTTTTTGAGAACACCGAACCTTATTTTTATAGTCCACTACAATTGTAAGTTGTGATATGAGGACTGTAATGATCAACCACAGACTGTATCACAAGTACAGTTACGGAAAATGGGTAGTTTGTTACAGAAGGCTGGAATGATCACAGAGATTTCCCATAAGGCATCATGACTCTTACGAGCCCATGTATTTGATCAAGAGCTTGCCCAGTGACGAGGAGATAAACTCTCCACCAGAGGAACCTCACCCTCAAGTCCCCTGAGAGTTGGGCTGTAAAGCTGACATTCAGGTTGGCAAGATGACTCTATCCATCCTCGATGGCATGAGACAATGACTTGCAAAATCCAAGAGGCTAAATTCTGATTATCCTTTTAAAAGAAAACATTACAAATCACATGCAGTGTACCTTACTGCTTCACTGGCTAACAAAAGGCACGCTTTGAGTTCCGACTATGAACTCCGTATGTTCAGCAACGCAGCACAGGTCCCAGTCTCCAACAACGTCCCAAACACGCCCCCTGTGGGAGTTAAAGACTGGAGCTGCCAACTGCCATTGCCAAGAATGAAAAGAAACAACTTAATTCACTAACTTCTGCAATTCCTTCTGCAATGATTTTATTATAAATATGTTACTTTGGAATAAACAAATATTGCATTCAAGACTATCTGCAAACTTGTTCTAAAGGAGTAAAAGGGAAAATGGAACCAGGAACCACTTAGAAGAGATAAACAGCAAAGACACCTGCAGGCCTCTCCCCCAAGAAGTAAGAGAAGTTAACAGGGAACATCACATTTCTCATCAGCCTATTCAGTTAGAATAAGCTTTGAGTTTGGTAATTTGTACTTGTTCTGTAAACGGAACTGCTCCTCTCCTCAGTCCTAAGAAGTAGAATGGGAAGACAGTCTTCAGATCCCAGTAGCAACAAGAAAGATCTTGACTTTGTATTTGTAACTCTTTGCTCACCTACAAAACTGTTCACTATTTGCCAGGAGCAATGTCAGAGTAGTCCTTCAGCACTCCAGCCATGTGTTCGTTATGAGTCTTAAATCGTCGCTTTTTCTGTGAAGCAGGCTTTTTCCTTCTCTGGATAGGGGCCTACAGGAAAAGGTAAAAACAGAAACAACAGCTCTCGGAGGGGTAAAGCATAAGGATTTACTCAGGATGCCCAGAAACCAGCAGCAAGAGATTTGGAGTATTTGGCCTGTTTTTCTGCTTTGTAACCAAATCTCATGCACATCAATCCATAGCACACTCCCAACCACAAACAAGAAACTATGCTTTCTATTATGATGCATATACTTCTACCTGGAATAAATGGGCTGACACAAAAACTTCTCAGAACTATTCTAGGCACTAAGTAAATAAAAAGAGAGGCAGTAAAGCTTTTTCATCACTATTATCTGGTTTAAAAATATATACTTCAGTCCTGGCCAGTACTGCTCAGTAGGCTGGGCATCGAACCAGGAGGTTGCTGGTTCGATTTCTGGTCAAGGGCATGTGCCTGGGTTGCAGGCTTGATCCCCAGTTGGGGGTAAGCAGGAGGAAACAAATCGGTGTTGCACTCTCACATCGATGTCTCTCTCTCCTCTTCCTCTCTCTCTCTAAAAAAATATATATCAATAAAAAAGATCTGACGTAAATAGGGCAAAACACAGACATATGGGCAAAATTAGGAAGTAGATGAGCACATGAAGATTTACTATTATTCTCTATTCTTTTCAGTATACCTGAAACCATAAAGTACTGTAAGTACACTAATTTACGGAGATCACTGGCAATAAGTCTTCCTTTTTAAGGAGCCCTAAAAATTCACTGAAACACACACACACGAAAAGTCAGAAAGAAGGCAAGTTACACAGCCTGGTGGTGGACAGAAAAAGATGGGAGAGGTGCTGCAGCTGGAGTCTGAAGTGTGAACTAGTTCTCACTTGGGCTTTGTCCTGGGACTAGCACAGTTACTTATTAGCCAGTGCAGACCATTTCACAAGTCTTCATCCCATTACAAATCCTTCCTCAGAGCAGGATTTAGGCTACAAAGACAGTGTTACCTGGTTCAGAGGGATCTGAAAGTTAACAAGGACAACTCAACGTGCTCAGGACTAAGCGAGAGCAGGCACCAACACTACGGGGCTCACTGGAGCAGGGGCCTGGGGGTAGGGTAGACGGCTAGAGTCTTAAAAGGCCAAGATCAGGACATGTGAGCACTAGGAAAAGTTTGGTATGGCTGGAGCTTAAAAGCAGACACTACTAGGACAGGGCGGTCGGATGGGGAAAACTCGCACACTCCTGGGGAGCAGCACTTGAGGGCAGAGATCTGCTGGCCCTCAATAAACCACATGTGATCTGGTTTGCAACTGACCAAGATCAATGGGTCAGGACACAGAAAAAACTGAAAGGGAGAACTGACTACCTGCTCTTCAGAGAAGAGAAAGCAGGCTAACAGTTCAAAGAACAGAGAACTACATTTTTTTCCAGCGGTTACATACCACTTTCTTTGGTCCGGATTCCTGCATGGAAGAAATACCCTGTCGCTTCAGATATTCTTCAATTTTCTCCTCATCCATTGAATCCACAGTGACACTCCTCCACAGTTTCTGAAACTCTGTGCCAACAAGACAGTAGATATTTTACAATAGATGTTTACAAGCTACAGCACCTCAGTGATGGAAATCCAAGCTTCAATGTTATCTCCCCTGGTCTATATTAGCACATCTGTGATTTCATTATAAAAACAAAGGAAGTGAGACAACATTCAAATGCTGGACACTGAGCAGCAGAGGGGCCTGAGAACAGAACTGCATCCTTACAGACCACATCAGTAATGTTCTATTTTTAGAGTCTGTAAATGAAGGGCCGTGTGCGAAAGGCCTCCCTGCTTTCCTGGGGAGGAAAGGCTGTCCACAGTCTCCTTTTATTACACAAATCAGTTCTCTGCACTGAAATAGTTCAAATTCCTGCTCATCTCCCCTGAGCTCAGTACTCCATTTCCTCTCCTATTGGTAAAAAGAAACACATAGGGACAATGGGAACCAGTTTCATATGGAGAGAGGAGCTATACAGATCACAGCTGACCCTTGAACAACATGGGTTTGAACTGCACAGGTCCGTTTATATGCAGTCTTTTTTTTTTTTTTAATCCTCACCTGAGGATATTTTTTTCACATTGATTTTCTTTAGAGAGAGTAGAAGGGCAGGAGGGAGGAGTGGGGGAAAAGGAAAGATAGAAAGAGAGAGACATCGATGCAAGAGACACATCGATTGTTTGCCTCCCATAAGCACGCAGAGGCTGAGGATTGAGCCTGCAACCACGGTATGACTGGGAATTGAGCCTTGACTGGGAATCAAACCTGAGACCCTTCAGTCCATGGGCTGGTGCTCTAACCATTAAGCTAAAGCACCCAGGGCTATACACAAACTTCTTTCAATAAATGCATTGAAAAATTTTTTGGAGATCAGTGACAATTTGAAAAAAACTTGCAGACAAACATTAATTTTTTTTTTTTTTTTGGTATAGCGAAGGCGGAGATTTATTGAAGAACAAGTACAGACTCCCACATGGGGAGGGGGAAAGAGTCCCACTGAACAGACTCCCACATGGGGAGGGGGAAAGGGTCCCCTTAAATTTTTAATAACATTTTCTTTTCTCTACCTTACTTTATTGTGAGAATACAGTATATAACATATAAATATATGTTAACTAACTGCTTATGTTATCAGTAAGGCTTCCAGTCAATAGTAGGGTATTAGTAGCTATATTTTTGAGGAGTCAAAAGTTACACTGCGGGGTTGGGGGGTGAGGGTGGGAAAAGATTAACCAAAGAACTTATATGCCTAACCCTGGACACAAACAATAGTGAGGTGAAGGGGTGGGGGTAGGGGGGTGCAGAGAACTGATTTGTGTAATAAAAGGAGACTGTGGACAGCCTTTCCTCCCCAGGAAAGCAGGGAGGCCTTTCGCACATGGCCCTGTGAAGGGAGATCAGTGCAGGGGGGAAGAGGGGACCATCTGTAATACTTGCAACATTAAGGTAAACATAAAAAAAATTAAAAGGGGGGCGGTTTACACTTGGCTTTCAACTGTGTGAAGGGTTGGAGCTTCTAGTTCCTGCTTGGAATTAGAAAGATGTGTAAAGTGTGGCAAAAAGGTAGGTAGTTGGGACTTCTAGCTTTTCTAATTCCAAGCAAATTCTACCAGCTCGCATATAAAGATGTTGTAATAGTAAACTCCGTCATGACCTTTGAGCTATTGTTGTCATAAATTTTACCATTACATATGTTCTAAAAACAAAATACATTTAATATCTTTGTTTTAAGCAGCTATATCTTTCAGAGCAATTAAAAATTAACATTTTAAATTAGAAAGACATGAATTTTATATTTACCTTCATTTATTCCATTTAGAGCACTCTCACTTATTTGTATAGGTCCAACTTACTGTCTAGTATCCCTTCTGCCTGAAGAACATCCTCAGTACTTTTAGTAATGCAGGTCTGATGACAATGAATTCTCCCAGTTTCTGTCATGTCAAGAGAGTATTACTTTGAAAGTAGTTCTCTTTCATTTTGAAAGACTATTTTTGCTGGGTACAGAATTCTGAGTTGAAAAGTTTTTCCCTTTTGGCCCTTAAAAGATATCACTGCACTGTCTTTTGGTTTGCACAGGTTCAAATGAGAAGTCTGCTGTAATCCTTTTTTCCTCTGACTACCTTCAATATTTTCTCTTCATCATTTTTTCAGCAGTTTGAATATATGCTTTTCTAGCATTTGTTGGGGGGCGGGGCGGTAATCTTGCCTCATGTGTTCTCTGAGCTTCTGCATCTTTGTTTTGTTGTCTATTGTTAATTTTGGAAAATTCTTGGCCATTTCTTCTTCTATCCCATTCTCTTTCTCTTCTTCTGAGATTTTAATTACACATTCAGACCACTCTTTATTATCTCAAAGCTTATGGATGCTGTTTGTAATTTTTCATGTTTTTCTCTTTGCCATTTAAGTTTAGATCATTTGTATTGGCCTATCCGCAAGTTAAGATTCTTCCCTTGGTCATACCAAGTTTACTGATGAGCTTATTGAAGACACTGTCTTATTATTGTGCTTTTCCCTTTATAGAATTTCATTGATTTGTTATGTTATCTCTCTGCTGAATATCCTACCTGTCATACACGTTGTCTGCCTCTTCTACTAGA